ACGTTTTATTATGAATGCGTGAGCTTTATTTGACGACTTGTGGACTGTTCAACTGCAACACCCGCTGAGCGGCATTAAACAGCTTGAAAGATCAAAGACAATTTTTAATATAACTCCGACTGGATTCATCTGAGAGAAGAAAGTCATATACACCTAGGACGCTTCGAGAGTAAGTAAAACACAAGCTAATTTTCATTTTTGGGTGAACTAACCCTTTAACTCCTTGTATTGTTTGTTTAAATGAGTCGACTAAATTGGTATTGACAAAATACTTTTTTATGTATGAAGATTGTTTTTTACAGATTAAAGGAACAGCAGTGGGAAGTACAATGGCCCTTAATTATGTGAATTTGTATGTTGGTCATTTTGAACATGAATACCATCCCAAAAGTTAAGTGTGCTGGTGGCAGCCTTATGCTGTAGGGCTGAAGGACTTGTCAGAGAAGAAGAAAAGCTCAATGCACCAAAACTTTAAGCCTTAATGAAAACCCAGTCCAGAGCATTCAGAACCTCAGACTGGGCAGGTGGTTCTCATAAATTGTGACAGATTTGCATAGAAAGCCTGAGAGCAGCAGTGACAGTGTGCTGATTTTCGTTGGCATATAGTGAAATGTCAAAACCATATCCACTAGGAGACTATTTGAGATACAGTATCTAGTGAAAGAGATTTTTAAAAATAGCAGCTGGATTTGCATATACAGGTAAAACATTTTTCATTAAAATAACATCAATAATGTTATGAGGGGTTTGTTTAGATGGTCAAATGACTTTTCCAGACAGCTGCTGCCCTGCTGAGACAAATATTGGAATGGTTTCCATGTTTCCCCATGATATATGCACTTTGTTTGCCTAGGAGTCACAAGGAAACTCCTAGAGATGTGGACAGGCAGCAGTAGCTTAGGTGCCGCTTGCCTACCAACAAACTAACTAACTCAGTTGTCAGAAATACTTGCTTTCAAAAGTCACATTCCTAGTGAATTTGCTAAAAATCCCCCCTTTTTTTTCTTTTTTTTTTACATCAGGATAATAGATTTTTGATCATTCTTATATCATCTGGGCCTGGGCTAACATAATATCGACAATTCTGTTTGTCCAGGTGTCCATGCCTTTCAGCCCAGAAGTGTTTCTAATTCAGATAGTCCTTGCTCAAGCCACATGTCAATAAAAGCCAGTAGTTCTGTATCAATCATGTCCACTGTGTTTCAGCATTTTGTGCACAACAGCACCAGTTAAATCCAGCATTCTTGATTATTTTAAAAAGAAACAAGTCCTGCAAGAGTTGGCCCTGGTTTGGGTTAGTTTTCCTTTGCTACCCCAGTTGCTTTGTTTGATCTCTCACATGCATATAATAGTAGTAGTCCTTGTTAATACATATAGGAGATACAAAATAGCTGTGAGTTTCTAAGGTAAACAACACGCATCACCATGCCAACCTACAATGCTTACTTCCTCTAGTGGTTAGAGCTGTATTGTTTCAAAACTCTGTCTTCAGTGGTGATAATAAATAAATGACTCAGTATGTGTAACCCCTCTCTCCCGGGTCCTCACAGCCACACCTCGTTCTCGTTCCGAGTGGGTCTCGAACCCGGGTCTCCGGCATGGGAGGAGGACGCACTAACAAGGAGGCTAAAGTCTGCAGCCACTAGCGCGTCTCTCGAGATCAGGGGAGTGAGGTTTATCTGCACAGCACCTACTCGCTGGCCTCCGTTACACTCACCCCCCTAATCCTCACTCCCATCCGGGTCACGGCACCAATGTAACCCCTCTC